ATGGTAGGACAGAGACTGCAGAGTAGACAGAACAGTGGGGAGGGCAGGTAGGAAAAATTAAATTCCAAAAAAAAGAAAAGCTTACATTCCAACAAAACCCTGCCAGGAATCCAAATAGTGGGTATAATGAGAGAACTGACACAATTCAAAACTTAGTGTCACACTGTGTTAGGAACAGCAAAAGTACGATACAGACTCTCTGGCTTGGTTGCAAAAGAGAGCAAGTTTTATTCTTCAGATCTTCTTTTATAGACAGATCCAAAAAGGTAAAACCCATTGGTCATGAAACCAACACATCACCATCATTGGACAGTCAGGAACACCCCCTGACTGCCACAAGTAAACAACAAGGCACAAACAACTCCTGCAAAGGTTGTTTCCTTCTCTAAGAATTGTTTGGATTCTTCCTTATCATTTCTCAGGCCAGAGTGAGAAAGTTCTGTGACTTAGCTTCACACAGGCTCAAACTAATGCCTGAAGCCTAAAAATCTCTTATTTGACCACTGTCAGTTCCCACAACTTAGGAGGTGTGCTAACCAAGAGAAAAAATGAATTCCTGTTACTTCCTAGTCCACATCACAGCTACAAAACCTATGGTTGCTACATGACTTTGGAAAAAAAGTATGAAGCCTCTGTCTCATAGGGCTGTTTTAGGTTTGACTAGTTTTGGAAGTTAGGAAGGCTCACTACTTTTTATGTTAAAGAAATGACTATTTCACACAAAAAGGACAGAAGAAAGTTGATTTTGGAAACTGCAAGCTACCCAATGCTGGACACGAGGCACTGAACCCATGGAATTCAGGCTTGATGGTCAAAATGTCCTTGTGGCCAAAAAAACAAAAAGGATGAATGTGAAATTAAGAGAGAAATAAAACAAAAAACTAACCATTCATATTAGGATTGAGTCTCATTCCTAAAGAGCACATATATAAATGCTGCCATCTGTTTCTATCCAATCCTTTTTAAAAGCTGGGGGGATGGTGGTGGTGGTGTTTGTTTTGTATTTTTTAAATTAAATTCACCTACTTGCACATCTGCCAGGTTCACTGACTGTAACAGAGCCTTTGTTCTGTCTCACCAAACACAAAATGTGAATTAATACATTCTCCCCCAAATACACAGGCAGGGAAATCGTCCCAGAAAAGCATCTCAGAAATCCCAACATTCTTCAGGTGACTTTGACATATTAAAAAAACATTTTGTAAAAGGCAGGTCATCAACCCTGACACTAGCAGTTTTAGGGAAAAAAAGAGCATTCATTTCTCAAGGGAGGGTTTTGTTCCTAACCAGACAGTGACACTGCTGTTAAACACTTGTTACACCTGAAAGCTTAGCAGAAATGGCACCCACACACTTTAAATCACCACAGAACACGAGAACACCTTGATGTCCTTTTCAGACCCCTTTCTGTTCCCCATTCCTGAAGGTATCCCACCCAGCAAACACCACCTGCAGCTCTGTAAATGACAGCCAGAAATATTCATTCATCAGTTTCCTAGTTAGTTTCTCTCTCACGTGTACACAATTCCCTTCATGGCATCTACCTACTCAGCAAGGAGGGCATAACACAGCACATGCTCTGTTCCACTCTACAGCACCTTCTCTGCAAAGCAATTCTAACTCCCAGCAAGTTTTGTTTCTTCTAACACCCTTAAATCCAAAAGAACAGCATAAAGGGTTTGCTGTCACCACCACAGTTCCGTTCCTTTCTCCCTTCCCAAAAAACAAGACCACAAAAAAAAAAAAGGCTTATTATTATTATAATAAATACATATATTTCAGCTAAACCTTTATTTACTCATGTCTGGCTAAGTGCACCAGGATTTCTTTTGTGCAGTGACTGGGATATAATTGAAAGGCTCTAAATTTAAAGCAGATGTGAAGAAAAAAAAAAATAATCACGTGCTCTTTTTAAAGGCAAAACACAAAAAGCAACAGGTATCAGAACTTCAACATACCACTTACATCACACAAATCACCTCCTAGGGATAAACTGATTAAAGTAACTCTGACTCTTCTAATCTAGAAGACTGAAGACCTGTGGATAGTAATTTTCTGTCACTGTATGGCTGAAGAGTTTGTAGGCTCATTTTAGAGTCTAAAATCAGTAAGTATTATGTGATTGCATCCAAGGCTGTTTCTCTCTTTCCCATAGGTGGCATGTAACTTCCTGATAGCAGAAACAAAATGATAAAGGCACTGCAGGTATTTCAGCAGCCCAGAAATGCCCAGGAGCACCGGTGACCCCACACAGCCAGCCTAAAGTCACCAAGGGCAACATCCCAGTGCAAGGCAAAGCAGCTCCAGCTCCAGAAATTCCATCATAACCTCACCCTGACAACAGCACCCATACTGACACAAGGCACGTGCCAGAGAGCATCACTACTGCGACATCAGCACTGCGTTTTCCAGGATCTCCTGCCCCACTGCATGCCAAACCCCTGCCGTCAACAGGCAGCAATGGATGGGACCCTGCTCTCCTCACCTCTCCAGCTACCCTCTTGCATCAGGGTGGCCAGCAAGGGTCAAGAAACCCCTCTCTGGGTTTAGTTCTATTATTTAAAAAGCCAGGCATCCCTCCACGTTTACACTTCTGACCAAACCGTACCTGGCTAAAGCGAGCCAGACCCTCCAAACAGAAGCCAGCTCTCCAGTGGCTTAGCCAGGTAAGAGTTGTAACAAAACTCTCACCCCAGAGAGATTTTCAGAACAGGCTGGGAAAGAGGGAGGGGTGAGGGGATGAGAGATAACAATGGGAGATTATCCTGCTCCACAAAGTAAGGAATAGCAGCAAGGAACTCACGCACTGGTTAGGATAACGTGGTGAAATACTTCTGTTCCTACAGCAGCACACATAACTGCTATCAGGAACTGAAAAAGCAGCAGGTTCAAAGAGAAACAGCAAACAAAAACCCAAACAAACAAAAAAAAATTAAAGAATAAAAACAAAGAACCCACTAAATACCAAAGCCCCCTCAAAAACACAGCCAGGGATTCTCTCATCGCCAAGATGTACAATTCAGTAAAAGGGAACAGGCCACATAAATACCAAACTTGCCTTTTTTGCTAATCATGCCATTAGTCACATATTACAGATGAAAAGTTACGTGAACGGAATCTCTCAGAAAAAGCTCATGACAGGATCAAAAAGAATGCTAAAAATTATGAAAAACATGATGCTTTAATACAGCCCAGAGAGCTGGTTTTCTTCAGTTCAGGCTTCTGCTAACATCGCAACAGGGATTTCATTACAGTTAAATTGGTTTCCCAGAAGTGGTGGAAGAAGTTCAAATTATACCAAAGATTATGATAAACTCACATTTCATTCAGCAGATCCCAACCTTTTTGTAGCTGCAGTCCCTCCTGCAGCTTGATGGAATCAGACAATTCCAAATTCATGGATGATACAGTAGGCACAGACTTGACTATTCTGGGAACTGCTGTTCTGGGAAAAAGTTCTGAACTGTGCTTCCAGAACTGATCTACATTCAGTACAGCTGTTAACTAAATAATCACTGCTGAAAAACATCCCCTATTTTACTACCAACTCTAGTCCCAGCAGCACGGGCAAGGTGGTGATTTCTCTGTGCCCATCCTATCTGGAATGGCTCTAAGGGTGCAGACTCTGAAGTGACCCCGAATTGGGGCACACATATGAGCAGCTTCCAGCACAAAGCCCAGAGCCGTGTCAGCCTGTGGCTCAGGAGGGGATGTGTGTGCAGCCACCTACGGCTACAGACGCAATAATCTCAGGGAGCAAAGGAGGTTACAGCTGCTGGAGGTTACTGCTGCAGACATCCCTGCCCAGCTGGCCATTGTTTGAGAATTACAGCCCCTCGGCCAAAGCACACAAGTTTCAGTGCTTGTTGGATCTGAGGTAACACCTTATCCAGCTACAACCACCCTGCATACTTGAGCGTGGCCCCCAAAACGCAAAACACACATTGTTCTTTGGAACAATTCTATTTTTATCCATTTGCTTTCATTCTCTCGGCTCCTGTACTGCTTCCCACCACCACCAGCACCTCCGTAGGTGTTTCCTTATGTCTTTGCATCTCCCATTTCCACCGGGGCTTCCCTTAAAACCATTCCACACCCGATCAGCACAAACCAGAACACGAAACTTGCAGAGCGCATGCAACAATCCAGGTTAAATAAACCGTGGGCTTCCTAATTAACCTTCAGCTCTCTGGCTGCAAACGAGACAGATGTGGAAGGGCAGCAATTCCCGACCCAGGCTTCAGGATGGCAGCACACTCAGAAACAAAGCACGGTGTCAGCTGACGCTGCTCGTAGTAGATGCAGTAAAATACACGGAACTGACCAGGCAGCGCTCACGGAGAAGCTCACAGCAAACCCAGCACGGCCGCGAGCTCTGGCCAGAGACACCGCTCAGCAGCACCTCGGAGGAGATGACTGAGACAACAAAAGCGTGCGCTCCCCAAGGGCAGCCCGAACGAGGAGGGGCGGAGAGCCAGGGCCGGGAAGGGGAATGGGCAGAGCAGCAATGACCGCCCGTGCGAGGCACGGCCGAACCCCGCCCGGCCGCCGGCAGGACGCGGGCCCGCGGGGCGCTGAGGCCGCCGCGCCGCGCTCCCCGAGGCCGGACCGGGGCCGCCCCGCCCCGGGCGGTGACAGCGTGCGGGGCCCGACGGGGAGAGGCCCTGACCCCCCCCGGCC